GCAAAGTTTGCAGGCAGGAGCGTCTTCCCGCCGAGGAGCGGGAACGGTTCCGCCCAGCGGGCGGGCAGGCTGCTTGGAGGAGGTGACCCGGCGGCGCTCTGGGTTTCCCCTCCGCCGCGCAGCTCGGGGCCAGGCGCGAGCGCCCGCGAGTTAAAAGGAAGCCGAAAGTTGCTGGGAAGTTGCTCGGGTGCTGGGAGCAGGCTTTTAAGAGCTGCGCCCCAAGGAGCAACTGGCGGCCGGAGAGGGGGGAAAGGCAGGCGAAAGCCCCCCCCCACACCTCTGCAAGCGGTTTGCAGGGTTAGCCAGCAGTTTCTCACAAGAGACTGAAGGCCGGTCTGCTCCCCCCAATTAGATGTTGGTTCAAGAGGGAGGGTCAGCCCTGCTGATGTATATGTATCGTATCTTGTGCTGACCCGGCCCGTCTGTCAAAATTTAAAAGTCCATGCGGCCCCCGAGCCAAAAAGTTTGCCCACCCCTGATCTAAGTGCTACAGCCCACTGTAACTACATAGCCAAAAAGGCATTAAGAGTTGTTAGCCTAATCTTACATAGCCTTTTCTCTGGTAATATTACACTAATAACTAGAGCATACAAAACATTTGCTAGACCAATACTCGAATACAGCTAATCAGTCTGGAACCCGCATTACGTATCTGATATTAACACAGTTGAGAAAGTCCTGAAATATTTCACAAGAAGAGTTCTCCACTCCTCTGCTTGTTGCAAAATACCTTATGCCACCAGACTTGAAATTCTAGACCTAGAAAACCTAGAACTATGCCGCCTTCGGTCCGATCTAAGTATAGTATATAAAATCATACATTGCAATGTCCTACCTGTCAATGAATACTTCAGCTTCAACCATAACAATAGAAGAGCAAACAACAGATACAAACTCAAGGTTAATCGCACCAAACTTGATTGCAGGAAATACGACTTCAGCAACAGAGTGATCAATGTCTGGAATACTCTACCTGACTCTGTGGTTTCTTCCCCGAACCGCAAAAACTTTAACCTTAGACTTTCTACTATTGACCTCGCCTCTTTCCTAAGAGGTCTGTAGGGGGCGTGCATAAGCGCACCAACGTGCCTACCGTCCCTGTCCTATTGTTTCTTTTATTTTTCTTATATGCATCCATGTATTCATAACTATGTTTTTACTTATACCTATTATCTTGTAAGCAATTGACAAACCAAATAAATAAGTAAAATAAATATTAATATAATTTGGTTTAACAGGTCCATGAAACATAACAATTATTTTTTTATGAGACAGTACATCCCCAAACAACAGGGTTTTATAAAAGAGGTTTCTATGCATTTCTTACAAATGTATATGTACCTCATTTCCTTCAGCAGATATTTATGGAGTCAAGTTGTTTTGTCATTGTTATTGGCCTACTATTTGTTCTTCCAATAAATAACACAGTCTTTCCCCTGAATATATTCTGATCATTCCAAGAAAGAGTCTAGGAATCATGACATTTCCATGGTATGAAGGAAGTTCCAAACAAGATGTTTTTGTCAATTATTACCAAATAATAGTAATAGAGTTCATGCAATGTATACACAGTTTCGTCAGAGTGATCAGTGATATACTATTTGATATACTACTGAGCATCTACTTTACAAAAGCTTCTTTCCTATATCCCATAAAATTTAATTTCTTTCACATTCCTGAAATAATTTATTTCACTATCTACCTGATGTAATGTAACTCAGGATATAATTCCTATAATTACTCCCCTAATATTTAGGAAGTTTTTTTCATCTGTTACATTAAAAATTATATTTTGATGGCAACTTCTGGAGAAGCTGATGGAGCAAGCTGCATCCAAGGTTTTCATTTTTAACTTGTATCCCTGATTCTCAGTTTTATCCACCTACATAAAAGTAAAACTACCAATCCCATTTTCTTATCCTATTAATACTTGAAGGTTTTTTTTGGAAAGACTTCATGATCCTGAATAAAAGTTAGCAATTCAAAAGCTATTTCATTGATTTAAAGGGAGAATACAAATGTATTTATATAATTAGCACACATCTCTGTTTAAGTTGTATATACTAGAGGAAATAATGACATTTTCCTCTCCACTTCTCAAGTTTTCATCACAAATTGAATGCCAAAAATATTCCTTACTATTTTGAAATTGAGTCATTTACATTCACTAAACATACATAATAAAAATTATGCCTACAGTATGTTTGAAAGTAGAATAACTTTTGAAATAATTTAAACAATAAACTTTAGTATGGATCTAATGGTTCCACAAGTTGTGAGAGAAGACAAAGCATTATCATTTAACCATTCTTTATAACTAAACTGCTTTACATTGCAACTTCAAGCATCTAATATTTCATGAACATTCACATTGATTAATGTTAATAAAGAGAAATAACTTGCTTTAACATGTTATCTAACAGCATCTGTGATCATTATTTAAATCCCACAGACATTAAATAAAAGATTTCCTTTGAATAATTTCTTGAAATGATTTAACTCATTTCAGTTATTTATTACTGGAAAAATGTTTACATGAAAAGAAATCATAATTTTAAATCTAAATAAACAGAAATGAATGTTTAATACTAGAAAATATTTAATGCAATTTTGGTATCATAACAACATAGGACTTACTTGATTGTTGGTCTGGAGTTAACCTTGGTATATGCTAGTCTGGGTGCTGATTACTGGTGGAGAGGTGCTGGAGTCTTTTTGCTCTTTTTGAGCTGGTTGATTGTCTCTTTTGCATAGTTATAGATGTTGTAAATGTCTATGTGTCTATTGATGGCTGATTTGTCAGAGTGCCAGGCTTCTAGAAATTCCCTGGCATTTTTGGACTTGGCCTGGTCCAAGATCCAACATTTTCCTAATTGAAACTATGGTTAAATCTTTCTATATGTTGTGAAATTAAAAAAATTTGGTCAGATCTTTTGATTGCCAGTTGGTGTTCATGGATGCATTCTGCCAGTCTTCTGCTTGTTTGTCTTACATAATGATTGTTGTAGTTCTTTAATTATATGTTGTAGATGACTTCTGTTTTTTCTTCTGGGGTTGCTCGGTCTTTTGGTTTGCTTAGGATGTTTTGAAGAACTTTGGTTGGCTTGTGTGCTACACTGATTCCATGTGGTTGAAGTAATCTGTTGGTGGTTTCTGAGATATTCTTGATGTAAAATGTAATTATTTTTAGGGTTTGTGTTGATTGTGCTGTATTGAGTTGAGTGGTCAAGGACTTTTTGATAAAGATGCATGGTTATCCATTTTGTTGGAATGTGTTTTATAGATGCTCCATTTCCTTTTTCTGCTATTCTGGGTTGCTGGACTTGTTTGGACTTGTTTAAATAAGGTCCTTACACAGCTTCTCTTGTGGGAGGTTGGGTTGTTGTTTTGGTAGTGAAGCACTGGTTAGTATGGGTGGTTTTTCTATAGACTTATGTTTCTATTTTGCCATTGTGATCGGGATGTCCAGAAAGGGTAGTGAGTTTTTTTCCTTCTCTATTAAATTGGATTCCTTTAAAAATATTATTGATGATTCTGTGAGTGTTTTCTAGTTGCTCCATTTTATTATGGTGAAGATGTCATCTATATATCTGATTCATATTTTCAGTTGTATTTATGGAAGTGCTATGCCTTCTAGATCAGTGTGGTCACCAACCGGTAATCTGCAGATCACTGGGGTCCGTGAGAAAATTTTGGTGGTCCACAGTGCACCCAGATGGAGGAGCTGCTCCAGGGCCAGTCCTGTGACTAGAGCTCTGGAATATGGGATCGGCCAGGCAGATCTTGGTGGGGCTGGAAATCTCTGCCATAGAAGGTGCTATGTGCAACATGCAAGTTTGCAGGTGGTGCAACGTAGCGCAGACCTTCCCAGCCGGAACGAGATAATAATGCTGTTGTGGCAAGGAGTGGTGGTGACACAGGCGGGCTGAAGGTATTGGTGTTGGCAACCTGTGGCTCTTTCATTCCTCTGCTATGGCTCCCTGTCAACCCACCAGTAGCTGACCCCGCCTCTCACCCTGCCCTCCCAGTCACTCCTCGCCTGGCCTGAAAAGGTAAGGGCAAGGGATATTGACTCGCTCCACATTCCAGAGTGGGAGCAAAGGGTCCCTGTACTTGCTTCATCTCTTGCTGGGTCTCGGGGGTGCTACTTCCGGCCCTTGTTGATGCTGTGCACATCTTGGTCACTTGGCGAGATACATGGCTTCCTCTCCGCCCCAAGACACTGGCCCAAACCCCCGATTTCTCTCTGCCACTGCTTTTGGCACCTTCATAGCCTGCCCACTGCTATCACAATGCCTTGTGCAGCACATTTAAATTTAGAGTGCTTCACAATGGGGGAGACGGCATCTCCACATCCTTTTGGAGCCCATTATGCTGCAGACCATTGGCAGCAGCCGGGTCAGGTGAGTGTCTCGGGGCAGAGAGCAGGTTGTGCATCTCCCCAAGCAACTGAGATGTGTCCAGAACCAACAAAGGCCAGAAGAAGGACCTGCAAGACCCAGAGAGTGCTAGAGAATCAGAATGAGAGAGAGAGAGAGAGACAGAGAGACAGAGAGATAGAGACAGAGAGAGACAGAGATGAGAGAGACAGAGAGATGAGAGAGAGAGAAAGAGAGAGAGAAAGAGAAAGATAGAGATAGAGAGAGATACCTGTTTTCCATAGAAAACCAGGGAGCCACAAAACCTGGGAAGGCGTGGCTGAGGTGCGTCATATGACTGGATGGGAGTGACATTGAGTTAGCCATGCCCACTCAGGTTTTGTGGCTCCTGATGTTTTGTTTTCTGTGGGAAATAGGTTCAAATGGCTCTTTGAGTGTTTAAAGTTGCAGAAACAGGTGGCCAAGCTAAGTGCCTGAAGGACCCTATCCCATCACTGGGAGTCCAGGCACTTCAGTGAGTGGTGTGCTGGATTTGTATTAGTGTTCCGCAGGATTTAAAATTATATATTTAGGGGTCCCTGAGATCCAAAAGTTGGTGACCCTTGTTCTAGATATTGGATGACGACCTCCAATTCAAGTCTGAAAGCAGTGATCCCATAAGTGTCCCTTTAATCTGTTTGTAAATTTGGCCATCAAATTGGAAGTATGTAGTTAATCTTTATGAGATCCATAATCCTGGGTGTTTTGATCTTTGTGTACTCAATTAAGTCAGGTGTATTGTGAAGCAATGCAGTCATGGATTCTTTGGCTAATTCTGGATCTATAGATGTGAACAGGGCTGTGACATCAGACGACCATGATTTCGTCCTCATCTGTAGTCACATCCCTGATTGTTTGAAGACACTGTGTTGTTGTTGCTGTTGTTCGTTGCAAAGTTGTGTCCGATCCATCGTGACCCCTTGGACAATGTTCCTCCAGGCCTTCCTGTCCTCTACCATCCCCCAGGGTCCATTTAAGCTCTGAAGATACTATAGTGAAGAGTTAATGGAGTGTTGGCTTCCTCTTGTGAGATGGCCAAGGTTTTTTGTTAATTTTTTTTTGCAATGTTGTATGTAGGGGATTCTGGTAGAGATACAATTAGATGGAGAGGTATGCTAGGTTTCTGTATTTTGGAGCATTTGTAGAAGAGTGGGAAGATGGGTCCACTGCTTCTCATCTGCTACTGTTTCTCTTTTGTAATTTGGCCTCTCTTAGTGAAATCACTAAGGGCTCTCTTGATCTGGTTGACTAGTTTTTGTATTCTATTGGTGTTCACAGAGTTTCTTTGTCCTCCAGTATTTCTTTTGCTTTTTGTAGGCATTGTGCTCTGTTCATAATCACCGTGGTTCAGCCTTAGTCTGCAAATAGGATGATGGTCTGGTCCTGTTTTAGGTTTCTGATGACTACGTTGCCTTCTGTTGTAAGTTGATTCTGTTCCTGTCCTCTTCTAATCTCTGGAATGATACTTTGTCTAATGTTTTCTTGGACCTCTGTGGTGAATTTGGTGGTTTTAAATGCCCCTTCTAAGGCTTCAAAAAAAGGTGATTTGTATCACCTTTATTATAGTTGAGTTCTTTTTGTAGAATCCTGTGTCCTTTTAAAACAATAGATGTGTTTCTGCTGCACTGTTAGGAGAAATAAACTGGCCAGACCGAAAGTCAAGATATTAAATAAGATCTCAGCCATCAACTATACTTTTTCTTTGTAGATTCTCCCCAGTCTCTATTCACCCATCCCCAGCTGATGAGTTATGTTGAACAAGGTTAAACCAAAAGTCAATTCCTTTTCCTCAACTCTATCAAAAGTAAAGCAACAAGGGAGTAAAAAATTACTATGTATTAAACTTTTAAGGAGTCTTTCTGTTAGGCTGATGGTTGCACTTACTTCTGGATCAGCATAAACAAATTCAAGTTTCTTTTACCATGCACAAAACATTGGCTCAGCATTTTATGCAACAAGCCAAGAACATCCAATTGGTATTGTAATCAAAATTAAGTGTTGAAGAACATGCTATCTCACCTCCAGAATTGATATCTACAATATTTTCCATGTATTGGACCATTGCTTCGATATCACTGTCCTGTCAACCAAAGAAGATACTCAATTAGTTGTTTCAACAAAAATACTGAAAATTGGGAACAATTCCATTTATTATTACATTGCTACAAGTAAGTTACATTGCTACAAGTAAGATCAGTAATGCAAGTTAAGAAAAAAAAATTAACATAATCAGAAGGGCTGTTCATAATGGATCTAGAACAACTCGCAGCTGTCAACTTGCCATGGCCTATTTGTCATGGGACAATGTGCCACAGGGCAAGAGTTATATTAATATTGAAGAAATGGGGGAATAGAACAATTAAAGAAAGGATGCCAAAGGAGGGACAAAAGAAATGTGAATGATAAAAATTAAAATAATGTTTAATTATTTTAAATAAATAATTAAATTGAATTGTTCAATAATCTTGTGGTGGGTTGGCCATGGTAAATTGACCGTAGCAAGATGGCTGTGGCAAGTTGATCATAATGAGTTGGCCATGGCGCATTGGCTGCAACAAGTTATCCCATTGCAGTTCCTAAGTACTCATAACTGAAAGACATGAAATTTAACATAGTTAAATTTATAACTAAATACAAATGGATTTGTAATTGACTTCTCATTGACATTGTGGCAGCAACAGCTAGAAAATAGCGGAGCCTCACTGGGCTCCATGAAATGCAGCCAGCAACAGCTTGCTGGGAGACCCTACGGAGTTAAGCCACCCTGGAGGGGTGGTGAAGAAAGGAGAGGCACTTCATCGATCGCGAGGAAATCACAATTTCCTCACTGATCCAAAGAAAGCTCTCCTGAATAGGAGTGGGGAAGACGGCCATTTTGGTCTGTCATAAGCTGGGACAACCGGAACGCTAAGATCTTGTGCTGGTGCAGTGTGTAGACAGAGCAGTGAAACTGGGTGAGATAACTTCTAACCTTTATACCAAAGATATAACCCAAACTAAAAATTATAAAAATAACCTTCAAATAGTAAGAAAGCGATGATTGGATTTATGGAGGAGGATTAAAGACTAAAAATTAAAAAGAAAGATTAAAGTTTAAAGATTCAGACGCAGAATAAATATTCAAAGGATGTTTCAAACTAGAGAAAGACTGGAAATAGTTGAACAATATTGTGAATAAGTGACTATTGGGAGTCATTGCTTTTCTAAACTTTATTTTTAACTCCCCTAAATGGATGACAGTCAGCTGTTTTAACTTATACTTTGTTAAATGTTGGAATTGGGGGCAGGAGAGCCATCTGCTGGAGGAAGAAGATAACTGCAATATGAGAAATTTGAAGGAAAGTGCTGAAAGGAGATAAAACAAATAATAGCTGGAAACTATTTGACCTTAACTTTATCATTGCAGACAATTGGGAGACCTGGAAATATAATAGCTGTCTGAAGATGTTTGAGGCAAACTGAGCTATAAAAACTAAAACTTTATTGAACTGTTCATTGAAAGAAGAAAAAAGAATAAAAGATAAGTAAAACTTTAAAATTTGGACAATTAGGAAGAAGTAAACTGGAAATTACAAAGACTGTGAGCAGTGAGCAGGCTGTGAGCAAAGCACTCCAAAGCTGGATCAAATCAACTCATCAGAGGGCAAATGGCAAAGAAGGAAGGCATGTCCTTTTTGCACAGCAGCGGCAGTCATGATCACCCCCCATTCACCTCCTTTCTTTCTCCCCTTCACCCCAGTTCTTGAAGAATGAACTTCCACTTCTCACCCTGTCATAATCCTTCACACCAAAAGGAAAGAGGTGCCACTCTTAGCTTAGTCAGAGGATCTGTGTGCACCAGCCATGCCAAAAGGTAACTGGCAAGAGGTGGATTTAACTTAATGTTAAATCTATATCTATATCTATATCTATATCTATGTATTTTATAATATTCAGTATCTATTTACTAATTTGGCAACTATTTTGTTTCAGTTCAGTTCATTTTATTACTATATAGAAATTCTATATTAAAATAATACATAGAAATTGTACTGAAAATTAAAATCTCTACAGTGTTGTTTGCTGGTAGACTGGATTTTTGAATGAACTGGTAATTTACTGTGTTTTTTCTCTTTCTACACCTTCATTCAATCATCAATTAACTCTCTTGAATTCACAGAAAATGGAAAATACTTAGGCTGGCAAATAATTATATAACTAAAACAGACTTTAGTCTATTTTATTCTGAATTAAAATTCAGGTGGTTCCTTATTCAGAAGGAACAGAAGCAGAATACAGAAGCAGAAACAGAATACAGAAGCAGATATAGATTTGGGGAGAAGTGTGAGTGGAGAAAATAGGTAGTTGTGTTTCAGGAATAAAGAAGGGTTTCAGTATAAAATTATTTAGAAAATAATTTGAAAAACTGTTGGATCCCGAGAGAAATAGGTACTTGTTATCCTATAGACGTTTGGACCAAATCAGCAGAGCAATGTCAAGAAATGGTAAAAACTGGCAGACTTCCGGTTTGTCGGCTTCGCGAGCGGCAGGGATTTGCGACTCTGCGCGATCCCTGCCGCGCTAGCCGTTTTTGGTGCTCCGATCCGGACGGGTTCGGAGCTAGGCTACCCTGTAGGGGTAGCTGAAGATAGGGGAGATCCGGGAAGGGGTTTGGGGGTGTTGCAGACCCCCTCCCCGGCCGGCAGAACCCCCTTTTCCCAAGACGGTGCAGCGGCGGTCTGCAATGGCCGCCACAAAGAAGCTGGCAGCCGGGTAAGAATGCGCAGGAGGAAGTGGAGAAAGCTTTTGAAAAGAGAAAGTTTTTCTTGGTCCCCGGGACTCTAAGATATACTTAACAAAACTCCTGGAAATTATGGCTTTCTGAATGATACCTTCTAGAAGAGAAAATAAGCGGCAGCTTGGTGGTGCTGAAAGGAAAGTTTACTCTCCTTCTCTACGGATTTAATAAGTGGATATTAAGAAACCTATTTTTTTTAGGTAAAAACTGGCTTTAAGTGATAAGTGAGAAGGGAGAGGACTAAAAAAAATATTTGTGTGCTAAGACTGTTGGAGGAGATGCCTTAAGGATTTGAAGACTGAAATATATTGCAATAAGACTTTAAGAAATAGATTTGTACTTTCTTTTTTTCTGATTGATACTACCCCAGGAAGAGAAAGTGAGAACTTTGCCTTGGCTTGGACTGATTGATAACTTTGGGACTGTTTTATTTTTATTTTTTGAAATATCTTGGTTGTTGTAGGAAGAAAGAAGGGGAAAAGAAAAGATTTATAATGGCTTTTTCTGTTGAGGAACTGAGAAAAGAATATGAGCAAACAAAAAAAAATGGTGGAGATGCTGTGAGGGAAGCCTTCCTTTTCTTAGAAATGGCGCTTGCTAACTATCAACAAACATTACAGCAGATGAAGACAGCAGAAGAAGAAGAAGGAGAGGAAGAAGCCATCTTTAATTAATTTCAGAATTTAACCAAGAAAGAAGGAAGAGGGAAAGGAAGAGAAATGAAGGACTTAAGATCTAAAAAAACATTTAAGAAGGGGAAAAATAAGGTGCAAAATCAACATAATGATAGTAAACAAAAGGGAAAAGGAACACAACAGAGAAGGAAAGCCAGTAAGGCAGAGGCTAGAAGAAGGGGGGGTAGAAAGGTTTGGTGGGGGAAGAAAGGAAGGAAAATGGTGGAGAAAAGCTACAAAGTTTTGAAATTAGATGGGAAAAAAGGAATCTTTTTTAGGGATAAAGGGTAAAGTATAAATTCTTTAAAAAAGGTTTTGCAAGGTACATAAGATGATATTGTAGCATTGTATTAGAAATAGAAAATTAAAATGGTTTAAGAGTTGATAAGAGATTAAAATGTTGAAATGTTTAGTAATGATTGATTTTAAATTTAATAATGTTAAAGGGAAGGTTTAGAATATTGAGTTTTAATTAAAGAGTTTAATAAGATTATGATATTGATGTTATTATAAAAATTTTATTATAGCATTTGTTTTTGGAAAAGACAATGGGAATGTTATAAGATTCAACATTTAGATTTACTGTTTAACTATGTATTTAATTATTTTGGATTTAATATTTAGATAGAATGTACCAAGCAGAATCGGATTGGGTACTGGGTGTTATTTTAAATGTTAATTTGATTAATTTAGAGGGGAGACAGAAAGGCATCATACTCTGATTAGTGATTTCAGGAGAAATTCTCTTTTTTTTTATTATAAGGGACAATAAAGAATGGACAAAAGATACAAATGTAATGATTCAAATTAAGATGGATTAATTAAGATAGAATTAAGAAGAGTGAAATGTGTGGAGAAGTTAATATAGAAGACTTAGAATGGTAGATAAAATAAGTAATGATATGTAAGATGAGCATGAATATAATTGAAGTTCATGAAAAGAGAGATATCTGGGGCCAAGTTACTTTCCTAAAAGATTTTTTTTTGTTTTTCTTTTATGTTATATGTGTTGTGTGTTTATGTTTTTGGGAGAATTAGTGGAACCTTGCAGAAGTATAGAATGGGAATGATGGTGGTCAAGTCAGAAAGAAATAGATGAAACAATAATAACGAAACTGAATAAGAGTAAAGAGAGGTAAAGAGAAACTGGATAAGAGGTTTTTGTATGCTTTATGGAAATGGTTTAAAATAGAATTAAGGTTTTATCTGACTTGTTAAATTTATAATGGAAAAAGGTTTAAGTATGTAATGGTTAATGATGATTTGTTTGTTTTTGAAAAAATTAATAAAACTTGTTTAAAAAAAAAAAAAGAAATGGTAAAAACTGCAATTCAAAATATCAGAAAGATACACATTGATTAGGGATTATTGCATGCCCCCTCATTTGCTTCAGGAGTCTCTCGTCTACTTCTAGCACTGAGAGAAAGTAATGTATTTGCCCAAAGCTGGGTACTATCAGTATGTTGATAAAACCTGATTACATATTTCAGCTGTAATCTAAACAGCTAATGCAGTACAAATTCAGAATCTGGATGGAAGAGAATATGCTGAAGAAAAGTTGGCTTTGGGTTTGTGGTCTAACAACTCCTGAAAAGTACCATTATTACTCTAGTAGAATTGAACTCTAATCTTTAAATGTGATCTACAAACTGAGGGGCTATCTAAATATTTCTGCTCAATAAACAGGTTGCAACTGTGGCTAGGAGGACTTTTGCGCCAGACTTTTGACTTATTCATCAACAGGCTTTGGATGACCATGCTCTCAGTCTTTGATGTCCTAGTCATTCTTCCTCTGGCTTCTATAACATGCTTTGCATGGGGCTGCCCTTGAAGCAACATCTATAGTATATCTGGGTAACCATGCTGCTTTGTACTTAATATTGGTTTGCTTTTAGGTGTGATTCAAAGTGCTGGCTGTCACCTATGTAGTACTACATGGCCTCAGTTCTAATAATCTTTCATTTTGTATAAGTTCACTATATAAGTGGTTCTTTTAATTCAGCATTTATTCGAGTGAATATACTTGTGAATATATTCTACGTACTGTCTGTGACGCATTCTTTTCTTCCTGTTCACTATCTGATTCTTCACTTGTTTCTGAGCAGGAATCAAATGCATCATTATAATATTCTTCTGCAGTAAGAGGATCCTCTGGGAACTCTGCAATAAAAGCAGACTTAATTTGTGAATGACAGTAAATTTTAATGCAACTTACAACCAAAACTGGGACAGACAATTCATTGTAATTGTGACTTGCAAGCTTCAATCCTGGCTTCCCTTTTGACTTTCCTTGTTGGAATCCTGAGTTGAAAAATTCCAGTTGTGATCATATAACTATGAGGTACTCTGACTCTTAAAAGTGTAAGGGTCAGTTATAAGATACTTTTTTCAGTAGCATCATAACTTTAAACAGTTGTTTAATAAATGGTCATAAGTCTAGGATTTGACTTTTGAAAGAAGGTGTAGGATTATATATAGCTCTTTACAAATGATTGTAGTCAATTATAGCTGTAGCAGAAAGCGTTTCAGCTCCCAAAGTCAGGCTATCAATTTCTCCCTATTCCCTCTATTCATTGTTCCCAATCCCTGTAAAATATGTTTTTGAGGATAGCATTTAGCATGAGAAGCTGTAGAGGTAAACGGAAATCAGCTACTCCAGTTTATGTGATTATAAATGCTTAATATTGAATTCAGACCCAAATGTCTACCAAATTCAATTCCCAAAATTGTGTATTGCAAAATACACATGCAAAATATATCATATTTACTTGGTAGAAATAAATCCTTGATCTTAACATGAATCGTTTCACAAAGAAAAATTAGATAGAAAACATTGATGGGGAACATGTGCCTGGGCAAATCTAAAAGGATCTTCCCATTTTGAAGGTAAATTATTAGAGCTAAATAAATGTCTTTTAAATACAATATCATGTATTTATATTAATATATTAAATATAATATATTGGCATAGAATTTATCTTGTAGATTTTTAGTGATTATGATCAGGCAACATGCTGTTTGTTTCTGAGAGTTGCCATGCAACAAGCTTGAAATTAGTTGCTTTTCTGAAAAGAGTTTATGGAGAATATATCCTATAACTCTTGCATTCATTCCTTATACTTAGGCATATTTCTTCATTTAATAAAATCTGACACATATAATATACAATCCAGGACAACAGTGGACTTCTCAGTTTAGTCAAGTATTTCATTTTCATGAACCATGATCATTGGACACATCCCTATTTAAGGCATAAGAGATAAAATGAGAAAATCATAATATTGTGTGGAAGCAAAAACACAACTTTAGTACTAGCCCTGTAGCATACTTGTGTTGCTGCTGAGAACTCATGGTTGCAGATGTCTGCTGTAAACTGAACCTGATTTCCTACGTATCTTTTCCTTTGTTTTGACCTAGCAACAATTGAGTAAACAACAATTGAGAAAAAAATTCATTTTTTTTCTTAAATAATGCTTTGTTAAATAACTTTCACAAATGTTAATTTTCCAAATGTTACAGCAAACTTGTTGCTGCTCACTATAGATATATAGCCCTGTCATTACATTTCCACTTAGCAGCAAAAACCTACTACAATGTGAAAAAAACATTTGGAAGTCATTTCCTAGGAATCCACTCAAATCTATAGCTAGGCTGGGTCTGGAACAGAAATGGTCAGACTTGGTCAACCAAGTCATAGTTCTTTAAAATTAACAGGATTTGCAGAGAAAAAAATGACAGTCTGAAGACAGCTTGGCGAGAACTGTAGCCAGTGATCTTGGTGAAATGCAGAACTGGTGAGTAGACCAGCTGTTCCTCACAAGGAGAATGCAACATATGTCTCCAGTACTTTTAGAGCTTTGGGAAATGAGAGAATGGCTATTTTACTTTACCAGAAATCAGTGCCTTTGGGAAGGCGGGGCTGGAGCCACAGTGTGAAGATAGCTTTCTCGGAGCTCTGGTGAAAGTCGCTGATACCCCCACAGCCAGATGGTCCCAGCGGACCCAAAATGTCCTGGAGAGACGGGGAGCGAAAGGAGCACATCCTTATCGATCCCAGGGACACTGCAAAGTTCCCGGTTGATCCAGGAAAGCTCCTGTAGCCCAGCAGCGGAGGGAAGCGGACATTAAGCTGCTAGGAAGCTGTGACAGCCCCGGAACAGAAGAAGAGTAGAAGAAAATGGTGTGTCAGTTTGGGTGACAATTTTTTTTTCTGAATTAAGATAGAGGAGTACCCTAAGGGAAAAGAACTACAAAAAAAGAAAACAGGAAAGTGGAGAGCAGCAGCAAAGTAAAACACATGCTCAGCTTTCAAAGCTTTTTTGGATTTTTTATTTCTTTTTAAAGTGATTTTTTCCCCACTTTTTGACTAACTCGACTGGATGGGATTGGATTGGACTTTAATATAATAATTTACTGAAGAATCTGAACTTTTACTTTTAAACTAAAAGTCTTTGGATTACTTTGTCTTTTTATTTTTACTTTCTAAACTCAATTGATACAGTGTAACTTAAGCAACACTGCAATCTAGAGGTCACAGAGATTAAAAATTTAGAATTTCAAAGAATAAACTGTTTTGGCGAAAGGTTGTTCAGAAGGAAAAGAAGATAGAGAGTGAGCACTGAAAACAGGTGCTGCTCTCATTGACTTTGTAAACAACCGGAAAGTTGATTAGGAAAGGAACAAAGAAAGAACACTGTGACCTTGGATAATATATATGTTTTGGACTTTGGCTTTTTGCATTGTTGGATGTTACACTGAGACACTGATTGAGTTTGTGAACTAAAATTTCAAACTGTAGCTGTTTATTTCCCTTTTTTTCCCTGCCACTGGTGTGCGCTTTGGGTCTTTTTCATTTTTAATGTCTGGTTCTATTTTGAAACATTGACTTTTTTTCTTTTTCCATTTTTTAAATTAATCTTTTTGTTAATAAGAGGAGACAACATGGCCTTTGGGGTTTTTTTTCCTTGACTTTTTTGATTTTCTCCTCTCTTTTCTGTTTTTCCCCTCTTCTGTCTAGAAGTGGGTGGATTTATATTCTTCTTCTTGTTGCCCTTTTCTTTTACATTAGATTTTTGGATTTCACATAATTTTTCCTTTTCTTTATATATTGGAGTTTTAACTTTTCTTCTGGCTCTTGGATTTTTTACTTTCATCTGTTTGAACATAATTGGATTAAGGTAGAGAAGAACATGAAGATTTTATACTTATTTTTATTTTTCTTGGAGTTTTACCAATGGATTATAATTAATTGGCCACAATGCAAGAGATAAAAACAATGTTTCAAGCAATACAAGACCAAGGGAAGCGTACAGATGATAGAATTGGAAAAATGGAAGAGAGGATGGGAAAGATGGAAGAAAACATACAACAAATGATAACGACATATGGTGAAAAAATGCAGAAGATGGAAGAAAGAGGTATCAAAACAGACAAGAAAGTAGGAGAAATTGATAACAGATTGACAATGGTGGAATATGAGAAAGGAAAAGAGACAATTGCCTGGGAGATGGAAAAGGCTGGTTTTTATCTAAGATTCCAAAATATTGAGGAAGATAAAGGAGAAATCTCACAGAAATTATGACAGAAATCTTGGCAAGACCCTTGGAGATATCCAAAGAAAAAAATGAAGGATGGAATGGATGAAATATACCAAGTATATACAAGATATGCGATGAGAAACAAACTGCCCAAAGAAGTACATGTGAGATTTACTAAGAAAACAATGAGAACAGAAATATTACAGGAAGCAAGAGATGATTTACTGAAATACAAGGGAAAAGAGATTAAAGCCCTGAAGGAAATACCAAGGAAAGTGAGAGACCTAAGAAAAGAATATCAATTTCTGACAAAGACTGTAATCAAGAAAGAAGTGAATTACAGGTGGCTGATTCCCGAAAGCTTGATGTTTGTATGGCAAGAACAAAGACATAAATTAGACTCAGTTGAGAGAGCAGAATTATTATTATTTTTAATTTTAAAAAAATACTTTATTAAAATTTAAGATATTAAGAAGTTTACAAAAAACAGAATATTAAAAATATTTACAAAAATTTGTATAATAGAAATTATATCGACATCTTTCAATATCATTTTCTTGGCAGTACACTAAATACCACATATAGACATAGAATTTGACAGTTTTTTAACATATTAACTATATTAATTCACAATTCCTAATTAATGTTACTAAACAAAACTATATCATCTGTATAGGTCACTAATTTGAGTAAAAAGAAGAAAGGAATGTCATATTGACACTTAATATATGTATATATCTAAAACATATATTCAGGATATTTATAGTCTATGTGCTGTAGTTTAATGTTCCATGGGCATGGAGGGAGGAAGGGAACACATTTTATAATTCATTATTACATATTTCTACAGTAAGTCTAAGTAATTATAAATCCTAATCTGGATGTCTATCTAAATCATTCTCAATTGCTACACTTTCTCCCTCATCCTATCTGTTTGCTTGCATTCCAATTTTATTTCCCTTTTTCCTTCTTTTTAAATTCCTTCTATGACCTTTCTTTATTGTACTTTACTGTCTAACCATTGATACCAAATGTTCCAAATTAAATAATACTCTTTAATTTCAACGTGAGCCTATCCATCTTTGCACATTCTAAGATTTTGTGGATTATAACATTATTAGTGGACATCTTCCAAGCCTGCACCAATGCAAGTCATGCCGCAATTAGTATATGTATAATCAAATATCTAATTCTAGGGGGATATTTTTCTTTAATGATGCCCAGGAGAAATAATTCCGGCTTCCACTCCAACCTGCAATGGGTAATTTCCTCCAGCCATGTTTTTATCTTGGTCCAATATTTTTTAATTTCTGGGCATAGGCACCAGACGTGGAAGAAGGTACTTTGTGTTCTCTTACATTTCCAGCAATTTGGGTTTAATTTGCAAGTTTGAGGGTGCTAAATGCCATCTGTAAAGCATCTTATATAAATTTTCTTTGTTAGGCAACCGATTTTGTCATAGAGGTTTTTTTTGCCATATTTCTTCCCAAACATCCAATTCTATATTGTGTCCAAAATTTTTTGCCCAAGTTAGCATTTCCTCTTCTAGATCAAAATTTAGTAAATAATTGTATAATTTTGATATCATTTTTTCTTCTGGTCCCAGCAATGATTTGTCTAAAT